GGGATCCGAACCCGGACCGCCAGCAGTGGAGCGCGCTCACTTAACCGCTAAGCCACGGGGCCGGCCCATTGGTGGTTTAAAACAACAGAAATTTATTCTTGCACAGTTCTGGAGGCTAGAGGTCTGAAATCAAGGTGTGGGCAATGCTCTGAAGGCTCTGGGGGAGGATCCTTCCTTGCCTCTTCCTAGCTTCTGGTGGTTGCCGGCAATCCTTGGTGCTCCTTGGCTTATAGACACATCACTCCACTCTCTACCCCCATCTTTACATGATGTTCTCCCTGTGTGTGTCTGTGTTGAAATTTCCCTCTTTTTATAAGGACAGCATGACTTCATCTTAACTGAGGTTCTAGGTGGACAGAAACTTTGGGGGGACACTATTTAAACCAGTACACCCAGGTTGGGAAAGTACTAAGTCCTAGAAACGATTAAGAGGGGACTTGCAGTTTTGATTTGCATTTCCCTGATAGTTAGTGATTTTGAACATCTTTTCATGTGTCTGTTGGCCATCTGTATATCTTCTTTGGAGGGTGAAAGGGATAATTGGGTACATGTGTGTGGTGATGGGTTGTAATTAGTATTTTGGTGGTGAACATGATGTAATCTATGCAGAAATAGAGGTACAATGATGTACACCTGAAATTTTTACAATGTTATAAACCAATGTTACTGCAATAAACAAAAAATTTAAAAACAAACAAACAAACAAAAAAAAAACAAAAACCAAATCCATCAAGACATGAGACTTTTCCTGGTGGCCTGAGCATTAGGTCTCCTGTCTTAGGCCACACACAGAATGGTGGACTGTGCAGTAATTCTTACATGGAGACTTCAGATATTGCATATTCCTTCTGAGAAGGGCTGGAGAGCCAGCAGGTTTAGCACTTCAGACTGTTTGGTAGGTTGAACCCAGACAAACTAAATTCTGTTCTCGAATAACCAAACACTCAGTTTCCCAGGCAAGACCAAAACTTGTTTAATAAGAAATTCACTCATGTGGCGATACCTGTGTATCAGACACATGCTTTAATAATGTATGTGAAAGTCCTTTACAAATTCCAAAGCAGTATACAAATGAGAGGACTTGAACACTGCAGTTTATACTCACTGATTTCTCCTGGGCAAGTACGTTCACTCAGTTACTTAGAAGACAATGATCATTCACTGGCACCAACAGCAAGACACAACCTTTGGATATATGTTACTGGATGAGAATGTGATAATTGAGAACTTTCTTTTAAAAAGTGAATTTTATTTTTTTAAATACTATTAACAAACGGCATCCATAAACATTAACTATTTTAATTTTTATTAAACATTTTCTGTTCACTATGACATTTGTTTAGAGGTTACCTGAAATTCAATAGAAAAATCAAAGAATTCGATAAAAGAATAATTTCAGTTTATGAGTATTGCACCTCATTTTATTTATGTTGTCACATTTAAGAGTATATAATTTTTGTCATATGCTACAAAGTCTTCCATTATGTTTTAAATGTGACATAGTATTTCCTTATTTTGATGTGCAATAATATAATAAATTCTCTTTTTGCTATTGAGCTATCATTTTATTATTATGAGTAAAGGTAGTTTTACCATTTTAGGGTTATTTTAACAGTTTGTGTTGTCAGGGCTGTTGAGTCTATTCTGACTCCTAGCGACGCTGCGCACAGCAGAGTGGAATCCTGCCTGGTCTTTTTGCACCATCCTCTCCCCTTCCAGTGCTGTATCAGACAATGCTCCGCTGCTGTTCATAGGGTTTTCATGGCCAATATTTTTGCAAGTGGGTGGCCAGGTCCTTCCTAGTCTGTCTAGTCTGGAAGCTCCATTGAAACCTGTCCACCATGGGTGACCCTGCTGGTATTTGAAATCCCAGTGGCATGGCTTTCAGCATCACAGCAACAAGCAGCCGCCACAGTATGACAACCACAGACAGGTGGTGAGGTTCCCTGAGTGGGAAACGAACCTGGGTCATGGTGACCAGCGTGCTGGATCTTAGCCACTGGACCACCAGGTATAGGAGTGAAATTAATGGGTTAATTATGACCATATTTTCCCCCAACCACCACCACCACCATCACCCAGACACACAGACACCCAGACACACAGACACACAGACACACAGCTTAAGTCTCTTAAATAAATCTTCCCCGGTCTTAGTCCATGATCCTTAGCATGATGCACAAGACTTTCATTTCTGGCCTTGTCTACCTCTCGAGACAATCCTCTGGTCACCAAACTCCCATTATGTCCCAGCATTATCAAATTTCTCATAGCTCCTAGGACAATCCCTGTTATTCCTGTCTCCTGCTTTTGCACAACTTACTCCCTTTCCCAGCATTGCTACTTCTTCCCTCCCTCCACCCTGTCCAAGACTGCCAGTCTGTAAAAATCCCCCTTCATCCTTTAAAAATCTGCTCAGATCCCTTCTCTGGGAAGCTTTCTCTGCTTTGCACACAAATAGATTCCACTCATTCCTTTTTGGTTGTTGTTGTCTTGGATTTTTTTTTTCCAGTCCTATTTCTGAAGCAAGAGCAGAGTTCTACTATTTAACATTTCCCTCTATGTCATAATTATTTATTTACATGTCTGTCTCCCCTATGAAACTTGAGCTCCTTGATATCAGGAACCATTCCCTATTAACCTCTGCCTACCCCTGCCCAACACCAAGCCTGGCCCATGCTCAGTAAAAGTTTGTAAATCTCTTAAACTTGGAAGGCATAACAATTTTTTTTATAATTTTATTTATTTATTTTTCCCCCCAAAGCCCCAGTAGATAGTTGTATGTCATAGTTGCACACCCTTCTAATTGCTGTATGTGGGACGCGGCCTCAGCATGGTCGGAGAAGCAGTGCGTTGGTGCGCGCCCGGGATCCGAACCCGGGCCGCCAGCAGAGGAGCGGGCGCACTTAACCGCTAAGCCACGGGGCCGGCCCACAATTAATTTTATATTTAAAAAAATATATCCTGAAATCACTTTAACAATGATCTGTATTTCTTTATATTGCCACTAGGACATAAGAGTGGAAGAGCTTTACCATCTGCTCGCCAGCATTGGGCGTCAGCTTCTTCTCGTGGTTACACGCGACCATCAGTGGTGGGAGTCTGGCAAAGCGAGGGCCGGGGGGTATATGGGGCGTGGAACATGCTGGAAGTATAGCCACATACTAGGACTATGAAAATCATTACCTTATATTTCTCAGGTGGTAGTTTAGGGACAGAGAGTTGGGGATACTTCATGAATTTGGTGCCCCGAGTGCTTCTGGCTGAGTCTCTTTATGAATGGGAAGCTCAATGTCATAGAATGTTCTTCCCAAGACACGTTTGCAAAGTGAACAGTTTGCTGTGCTAATGCTTGTTTGGGCCAAGTGAGAGTTTTTCTTCCCCATCATTATTCACAGCAGATTATGTGATCGTGGATTTCAAAAATAATACACTTCTTTTTTCACATTTACACATATAATTGAAGTGAATATTATGTTTAAGTTCACTTCCTGTCTGGAAGCAAGGCACATAAAATAGGTACCATGTGTCATTTTTATGTTCAGCCTCTTGGAAAGCTGGATAATTCTCTCCCTTCTTCAAAGTGTATCTACTTTCTAAAGATGTTCCTTGTTTCACCAATAAGTATAATCACAGGGGAATTTTCCCCCCTAAGGTGTTATTTTGATTTCATGAATTAAGCTCTAATTGAGCAGCTGGGAAAGATCCTGCTATAAATGTTAACGATGGAGCCAGCTTCTCTAATGAACTCCAGCTGATGAGGGGGCAGGAGGAAGGAAAAAGGAACAGTAAGAATTATCAGGGGATGGGCTGTGTAGTGAGTTGGATAGTGACCCCCAAAATTCATGTCCACCTGGAACCTCAGAACATGACCTTATTTGGAAATAGGGTCTTTTCAGATGTAACTAATTAAGGATCTCTAGATGAAATCATCCTGGGCTTAGTGTGGGCTCTCAATCGAATAACTGGTGCCCTATAAGAAGGAGGACAGGACACAAAGAGACACAGGGAGAAGAGAGCCATGTGGAGATGAGGGCAGAGATTGGAGTTACGCTGCCATGAACCAAGGGATGCCTGGGGTCACCAGAAGCTGGTGAGGAGAGGCAAGGAAGGATTCTTCCTCGGAGACTTCAGAGGGAACATGCTCCTGCTGACACCTTGACTTTGGACTTCTACCCTCTAGAACTGTGAGAGAATAAATTTCTGTTGTTTTAGGCCATTAAGTTTCTGGTAATTTATTATGGCAGCCACAAGAAACTAATACAGGCTGTATATTTGTGTATCCAATATATATTACCTACTATTTACCAGGTACTGCACCAGGTACTGGGTATATGGTAATGAAGAGAGACATTAAATAAACGCAGTACTTATACTACTGTGAGAGTATAAAATAAGAGGCGTATTTTGAGAATTTGGGGGAGACTTTGCCTCAAATGAGGCAAACAATGGGTAAGGTTGTCCAGGTGTGGAAGATTGTCCAGATAAACAGGGAAGATGTTGGAGACCATTATAGTAGAAGAAAGCTAAAAACTCTAAAGAAAGTACCAACACTCTGAGATATGTAGGAGCTTTGTTGGGTAAGTGTGTCTGGATCATAATGATTGAAAGATCGGTGCCACAAGATGATGCAGGAGATACAGTCAAGGATGCCATCATACAGGTCCTTGCAGGTTGTGTTAAATATTAGTGACGTTATCCTAAGGGCAATCACAAGTCTTCTGAAGAATTTTTGGAAGGGTGTAATGTGATTAGAGTCATTTTAAGAGATCACTCCAGTTACTCTGCAGAAAAGGAATTGGAGGAAGGCAAGAATGAGTGTATGTCACCAGATAGGAGGCCATTGCAGTGGTCCAAGAAGGCAACAATGCTGGCCTGGACTCAGGTTATGTGGTGGAGATTGAGAGATATGAATGGATTTAAGATATATTTGGGGAAAAGATGTCATAGGACTTGATGTATAGGGGAAGGACTTGATGTATAGGGGAAGGAGTGAAATGGACAGATTCAAGAATATACTGTTCTGGGTGGAAAAACTAGAAGATAATCATGTTTTGTAGACGCAATGACTCTGAATTTACTTCTGGATTTGTTCTCAGAAGTGTCTTGGAGATGGTTAAGTAGAGATGTAATGTTGATCATCAAATATACAAGTATAGAGTTGGAACACTTTCTCTGGCCTGAAGATAAAAATTCTAAGTCATCAAAATTAGATTATATTTGAAGCAATAGAAATAAAAGATGTCATATAGTGAGAAAATGGAGAGAGAGAAGAGAAAACCTCCAAAACAGAGGCACTCCCGAAGGATATGGAGATAGGTCTAAAAAAAAAATTAGCAAAAAAAAAAAACCAGAGGAAAACTGGGTGGGCGTGGTGTACGGAAGCTAAGGGAAAGAAGTGGTTTAGGGAGAAAATAGTCAACTAGGTCAAAAGCTGATGGATGTCTTAATAAGAGGAAAATGAAAATTCTCTCTTAAATTTAGCAATATGGAGATCGTTGGTGACCTTAACCAAAACCAGAGAAGTTGACCATGGTGGACAGAGGTGGGGGTGCCCATAGACCACAGGAATGAGGAATGCCAACAGGGTAGATGATATCAAGTCAAGATTCTATGCTCATCCCCACCCTGATGTCTTGGCATTTGAATGGCCCCTGAAGTATTTCTGAGTTGCCTGAGGTTGGGTTTCCATGCTCTGGTAGAATGGAAGCTTGAAATAAAGATTAAGTTCAACTGTAGAGAAAGTTGCCTTGTCTTCACACATGTTTGGGAACTGAGATTCATCTTGCCACAATGAAGTGAGTTTGGGGAGCATTGACTTAGAAGAGGAGGAGATGGATCATCCCAGAAAGAGAGGGGACAACCAGCACATTCAACCCTAAAGAAAAAAATTTTTCAAGCTCTCCAGCAGGGGTAGACAGACTAAAAATCTCTGCACAGGATTTCCATTTTATGCAACATAATTGGTCCCCCGACTCTCTTCCAGACCTTGAGGTCTAGAAATTAGTGTCTGTTTCTCTCACCTGTTCAGCTATTCTAGGTCCAAGTAATATGTGTGTTTTTAAATCTCTCAAGAGGTTCTGATATTCAAGTGGTGGAGGGGAACCTCTGAGCTATCTAACCTCTACTGTTCCTTCAATACTAGCACTTTATGATTCAAAGAGGATAGAAGACAGATGCCATGGCAAAGCCTGCGTCAGTGGCTTGGTAGAAGCTAATTCCAGGTGATGTCTGGTCTTCAGATGACAGTCTCCAATTATCAGTGTGGGTTTCTGGTTTCATTTCCAAGTGAAAGTCAAAGACTACCTGAAAGGGTAGGAACTGGATCCAAGAAAACTTGACAGAAGGAGAACTTAGGAAGACATTATAAAAATAATACCCAAAGCCTCGTGTCTTTAAGGATCTGAATGTCATGGACTTTATTTAATATGTATATTTTAGTTTAAAAAATATGAATTTTTAAGGGAACTCATCTCATTTTGATAAAAGATGTTCTTTCTGAGGTCTTTGACTTTTGCAATAAAAAAGTGTTTCTTTCTAAGCCTGATCCCAAAACTGAATAGGTATGTTTCAGCTTTTTCATTTGTGTGTGTTTGCTCTAACACAAGATAAAAATGAAAATAAAATAAAATGAAAATGAAATAAAACAAATATAAATATATAAAAATAAATATAAATATATAAATAAATATAAAAAATAAATAAATATAGGGGCCGGCCCGGTGGTGTAGTCGTTAAGTTCGCACACTCCACTTTGGCGGCCCGGGGTTCCCAGGTTTGGATCCTGGGTGTGGACCTACGCACCGCTCATCAAGCCATACTGTGGCAACATCCCATATACAAAACAGAGGAAGATGGGCACAAATGCTAGCTCAGGGCTAATCTTCCTCAGCAAAAAGAGGAAGATTGGCAACAGATGGTAGCTCAGGGCCAATCTTCCTCACCAAATAAATAAAAAATAATAAAAA